TGTGACTAGACTCAGGGAGTATCCCTCCATGTGGGATGGGCTCCTAAAGTCCATTCCCATGCTAACAATAAGTACTGATCCACTACAAGAGAACCCATAGATTTCTGAGGTCTCCTCACTGACACCAACATTCAAGGGGTCTGGATCAGTCCCATGCTGGTTTCCCAGCTATCAGTCTGGGAACCAAGAGTTACCCCTTGTTCAGGTCAGCAGTTTCTGTGGGTTTAACCAGCCTGGTCTTGACCATTTTGTTCATCACTCCACCTGCTCTCCAACTGGATTCCAGTTCAGTTCAGTGTTTAGCTGTGGCTGTCTGTTTCTACTTCCACCAGCTGCTGGATGAAGGGTAAAAGATGGTAAATAAGTGAGTCATCAATCTCATTATCAGGGGATGGCATTTAATGTAGCCTCTCCTCTGTTGCTTAGATTGTTAGTTGGTGTCATCCTTGTAGATCTTCAGAAATTTCCCTAATGCCTGATTTCCCTTTAAACCTATAATGGCTCCCTCTAATATGGTATCTCTTATCTTGCTTTCCTCTATTCTTCCCACAACTCAACCTTCCTGCTCCCTCATGTCCTCCTCACCCCCCTTCTCCCCATCTCATTCTACTAGCTCCCTCCCTCCTCCCCATGCTCCCAATTTGCTCAGGAGATCTTGTCCCTTTCCCCCTCTCCAGGGGACCATGTATGTCTCTCTTAGAATCCTCCTTGTTTCCTAGCTTCTCTGGCAGTGTGGACTATAGGCTAGGAATCCTTTATTCTATCTCTAAACTCCATATATGAGTGAATAAATACATGTTTGTCTTTTTGTGACTGTGTTACCTTGCTCAGAATGGTTTCTTCTAGTTCCATTCATTTGCCTGCTACTTTCAAGATTCCATTTTTTTTCTGCTGAGTAGTACTCCATTGTGTAAATGTACCACATTTTCTCTATCCATTCTTCAGTTAAGGAGCATCTAGGTTATTTCCAGGTTCTGGCTATTACAAATAATGCTGCTATGAACATAGTTGAACAGATGTCCTTGTTGTAGGAATGTGCTTCTTTTGGGTATATGCCTAAGAGTAGAATTGCTGGATCTTGTGGTAGACTGATTCTCATTTTCCTGAGCATTTGCCATATGGATTTCGAAAGTGGTTGTACAAGTTGGCACTCCCACCAACAATGGAGTAGTGTTCCCCTTTCTCCACAACCTCTCCAGTATAAATTGTCATTGGTGTTTTTGATTTTAGCCATTCTGACAGGTGTAAGATGGTATCTCAGAGTTGTTTTGATTTGCATTTCCCTGATGGCTAAGGATGTTGAATACTTTCTTACCTGTCTTTTAGCCATTTTAGATTCCTCTATTGAGAATTGTCTATTTAGTTCTGTACCCCACTTTTTAATTGGATTATTTGGTGTTGTGGAGACTAGTTTCTTGTGTTCTTTGTAAATTTTGGAGATCATCCCTCTGTCAGATATGGGGTTGGTGAAGATCTTTCCCAGTCTGTGGGCTGTCATTTTGTCTTGTTGTCTGTGTCCGTTGCCTTACAGAAGTTTCTCAATTTCAGGAGGTCCCATTTAATAATTGTGGATCTCAGTGTCTGTGCTACTGTTGTAATGCTTGGGAAGCGATCTCCTGTACCGATTAATTCAAGGGTATTTCCCACTTTATCTTCTAATAGGTTCAGTGTGGCTGGATTTATTTTGAGGTCTTTGATCCATTTGGAATTAAGTTTTGTGTATGGTGATAGACATGTATCTATCTGCAGTCTTCTACATGCCAGCATCCAGTTATGCCAGCACCATTTGTTGAAGATGCTTTATTTATTCCATTGTATAGCTTTCGCTTCTTTGTCAAAACGCCAGCCATTCATAGGTGTGTGGGTTAATATCGGGGTTTTCAACTCCATTCCATTGGTCTACCTATATATTTTGTGTCAATACCAATCTGTTTTCAAGACGATAGCTCTATAATAAAGCTTGAAATCAGGAATGGTGATGCCTCCAGAAGTTCCTTTATTTTACAGAGTTTTTTGGTCTATCCTGAGTCTTTTGTTTTTCCATATAAAGTTGAGAATTGTTCTTTCAAGGTCTGTGAAGAATTGTGCTGGGATTTTGATGGGGATTGTGTTGAATCTGTAGATTGTTTCTGGCAAGATTGCCATTTTTACTATGTTGATCCTACCTATCCAAGACCATGGGGGATCCTTCCATTTTCTGGTATCTTCTTTAATTTCTTTCTTTAAAGACTTAAAATTCTTATGATACAGGTCTTTCACTTTTTTGGTTAGCATTA